ATGTACCTTCGTTTACAGTATAAAGGTTTTTCTCCTAGAGCAAAAGGCCAAGATCATCCTTACTCCACCCTAGGGGCAAAGACACTAATGAAATGACTCCTTTCAGACATAATCCTGAGTAACAGTGTTGATTGAAAAAGCTTCATATTGTCATTAAAGATCCCTAGTGGACCAAGACTCCAGAACAAATCTTAGGTATTGTAAGGATTTTAGATATCCAATTTGATATCAGCTTTCTATCAGCTAGCTTTCCACTTTGTCAAAGGCCACTAGACTGTATGGCAAGTTCTCGAAACAAAGCTTTTCATCCTACCTTAAACTATCAAAAAATGAGAATAGCTACAAGACTACAGTTGTGAATTATATGGTAAACATACATGGATGCAGACATATAATTTTTAAAAAATTACACCTGAGGAGGCTGAGAAATAAGGATTGAGGTTGAAAGACAGTGTGGGAGACTCTCCACTTAAACACTAAAAAGCCAGAAGTAGAGCCGTGACTCAAGGGATAGAACACTAGCTTTGAGCAAAAAAAAAAGTTCAGGGACAGTGCCCAGGCCCTGAGTTCAAGCCCCAGGATCAGCATGTATGCATGCACGCGCATACATGGGCGCACGCACGCACGCACGCGCGCGCGCACACACACACACACAATATTTAGCCAGGCACTAGTAGCTCATGCCGTAATCCTGCAACTTGGGAGGATGAAACCAGGATAACTGAGGCCAGTGCCAGCAGAAAAGTCTGAGAGACTCCATCTCCAATTAACCCACAAAATGCCAGACTGAAGGCATGATTCAGTTGTGTAATGCCAGCTGTGAGGAAGCAAGCTGAATGAGATTGAGAGAGCTTGATTCAACCTCAGTACTAGCAAAAAAAAAAAAAAAAAAAGTAAACCATTTCCATTTATACAGAGAAACAAAAAATGCAAGCTAATTAAGATTCATTACGGATAGAAAAACCACTCTATTTATCTCAATCTCTCTCTCCTTTTTTGCCAGTCCTGGGGCTTGAACTCAGGGCCTGGACACTGTCCCTGAGCTGCTTTTGCTCAAGGGTAGCTCTCTAGTGCCACTTCCAGCTTTTTCTGTTTATGTGGTGTTGAGGAATTGAACCCACGGCCTCATGCATGAGAGGCAAGCATTGTACCACTGAGCCACCTTCCTAGCCCTCAATACATCTTCTTATTTTCTGTATGAAAAAAACTTGAGAGGCAGTCATGGGACTTGAACTCAGGCCTTTGAGCTTGCTCCACCTGCTTGCTTAGCCTGGCACTCCACCACTTGAGTTATGCCTCCAGCTCCGTTTTTGCTGGTTATTTTGGATATAAAATCTACTGAACTTTTTTGTCTGGGCTGGTTTTAATCATCTGGATCTCAGCCTTCTGAGTAACTAGAATTATAGGTATGAGTCACTGGCACCAGGCTAAAATAAACTTTTAAAGAAAGTCCTAAATGCACATTTAACAAAAATATTCCCTAGGAAGTTTAATTTCAAATCATATCTCTCATCCTAATTCTACAATAAGCACTAATTATGGCACTTTAAAAAAAACAAGCCAGTGGCTAAGATGGCTGTCACTCTATGGTACTCACACAATGTGCCACATCAAAGGAGATGCACTGCATTATAAAGGAGCACAGGCCCATTCATTCTTCCACATCCACCCCACTCTTGGAAAACAGAAGCCATACCTTGGAAACTTTCAGGCAGTCCTGCAGAGAGGCCCAAGTAGCTAAGAAGGAGACATCTTTAATCTTGGCCAACAGCCATGTGAGTATGCCTTCCTGGAATCCACCAATCCCAATCAAAACCACATATGATACAGCCTTAGCCAAAAGCTTAATTTCAACTTCATGTGAGACTATGAACGAGCAATATCAACTAAGCTGCTTTAGGATTCCTAAGTGTCAGAAATTGTGAGGTGCTTGTTTGATGCCTCTGTGTTTTAGAATGATTTGATAGAAATGGATGGCCACTAATTCATTATGCTTTGAGCATTGTTATCTTTCAAAACCAAAATTCTATTTTAAGTTTTAGAAATCGTTATACATAGCAATATTAGTTGCAAAATTATAAAATTGCAAAAATTAGGGAAAATTGAAAAGGAACTGTAATAATGTCAGCATCCCAGCCTGAGAACAATGAGCAAACAGGGCCCTATCAGAAGAAAACGAACTGCCCCAGAAGAAGAGAAATCAAGTTGAGCAGGTAAGGCAGGACTGCAACATAAACTTTTTTCAAAATTGGCAAGAAACCACTTTGTAATTTTTAAAAAATCACAGTATTCTATTTCACTACAAGAAGGCATCCCACAAAGTATGCCTTATCTACTACAAATTGAATCTAAAGCTTTATCTTGTCACAAACTACACCACAGGCCTACAGACACATAAGAAAGATAAACACATAAGAAATACGTAAGAAAAATAAAGACACTGTACCCAAATTCAGCAATGGCTTTCACCAATCATGTTAAAGCATAAATGACTTTTCTTTGATACTGTTCACAACCAAGCCAAAACACTTCATTAGATCACGTAAGCACCCTTTACAAGGACTCACAGATTTCCTGTATCAAAAAGTCCCTTTAACAGTGAGTTTATTTCACTAGGAAGTGCAGTTAGTACACATATATTTAGTACATTCCTTGCATATATTATACACACTATTGAAAAATCAACCAAAGAAAAACACGGCAGGCTTTTGTTTGTCTGGTGGCTACTGATTTCAGCAATAAAATGAGCTGTATGCATTGCTAAATCAACAAAATCCTGCTTGCCTTACATGATTAATGAATAAGGTAATTTACTAAGTGACAATTCTCCATAATAACTACGTGTAAGGACACAAGAAACAATAAGTGAACACCAAGACTGCACTAAAAATTAAAGCAACAGCATCTCTAAGTCATCAATTCAAAGGGCAGTAATTTTGGTGTAATAATATCAGCAAAAACAGCCAGTTTAAACTCTAAAGTTCCAAGTTTAATAAATGATTAGGATCAGACCACCACATTATTTCCCTGCTCCTTTGCCTATTTCTAATAAAAAAAGACAACTTACCAAGTTCTTTCATATAACTTACGTAATCAAGCTTAAATGATGTTACTAATTGACTGAAGCTGTTAAGCCCTTTTCAGAATATTCTAAACCTACATTAAAAAAAAAATTATCTTCATTCCTCCTTCCTACCACTTCACGGCTGGCATATGCAAAAAGAATAATGCCTGTGATAAAACTGTATCCAGTTGTATTTGCAGAACAATAATTATTTATTTCCAATAAATGCCACATACTGAATTGTGGGACCTTACAATCTTGCAAAATGCTGACAATGCAGAATTTTCAAGAAGTTATTTAAGAAAAGGCAACATTCAGAGGAAAGGGTTGACACTGCCCAAAAGGAAATGTACTCTTTACCTGACTTATGTACTGGTAATCCCTTGGTGCATCACCTTTATAATAACAGTAAGAAAATGAATTTTTTAAAAAAGAAAAGGCAAAATGCACATTCAAATATGGAGAGAGACTACGGAGACTATGGAGAGAGACTACAAAAATTAACATGATTGTCTAAAACTTTGTCACAAATTACACCACAGGTGTAGACTATACTGTTTTCCAAAGAGCATGTTTTCATAGCTGAGTGTTTTTAAAACCATACTGAGCATGCACATAGATTAAAATATATTAATATTCAGGTGTGATTTCCTGTAACATCATAATGAATCCAATACTTTAAACTGATCCACAACTACTTGAAGAGGGGAGTAGGAGGTGGGGAGGACGTTAAACAATAAAAAGTTTGCTTTACCCAAAGTAGACAACTTTACCTCCACTCAAGCACACAGGCTAACAACACACTTTAACTCCATCTGGTAAGTCAAACTCCACATTCCAAATCCATGTGCTTTAAATTTCAGAATCTATGGAATGTTTATACACTTAGTAACTTCAGAAGGAAAAAGGCTCTGTGTTTTAAAACTTTCAAACACACCAGAATTTAATATGAAATAGTAACAATGTGTTTTGATGTATACAACAGTATTGAAGTGGCACCAAAAACAAAAACAAAGACGCACATTTTAAAGACTGAATCCATTTTGTCCTCTGCTACTTCTGGCCTTTTTTTCCTGAACTTTCAGCCTTTTCGCCTAGACTCAAATTCTGACCTACTACATTCTACACTTGCTTTAAAAATATCCTATTTTAACATGCTAGCTTAAAAATAGCTTTGCTTTCATTCTTCCAAATGACTTTTAAGCACAAGAATGCTTTTTATGGTGGAGCCACAGATTTCCTCCACCCTCATTACCAAAATACCTTTATTTCATTCTTTCAAACTCTGCTGAAACACCACTAGAGGAGTTGAACTTGAACCTCTCTGAGCTTACACGGACATATCTGTAGATGTTGGCTTGATCCATTTGTTTTTTTTTCCATTTCCCAGGGGAAAAAATATGCTTCCTTGGGTTGCTTCCATGAATACAACCAGATGTGCATGGATTCCTGACTTAGGAAGGTAACACCCCTCTTTCGGGGGGACGTCCACACATCTTCATGGGATAATAGTCCAAGAAAGTTTCTTCCTGCCTACAGGGGGCTGGCAGCACTTCCTGGGCACAGGCCGGGCTCGCCACCCTCACGGATGCCGGCAGTGGCTGGAGGGCAGGGGGCTGGAGGGGGCACAGGACCTATCACAACAAAACCCAACATGGCAGGTTGGCACTTCAGGCTGAAACTCCGGGCTCGGAGGCCTTGGCCCCTGCTGCCTGGCAGGATCCACGCCGGTCCTCCCGGCCTCGGGGGCACTCGGGAGGTGGGCGGTCCCCCCCACCCCCCTCGGCCGTGAGCCGCGCGGGCCCACGGTGGCAGCCGGGTGGGGCGGGCGGTGGCGAGGGTCCAGGGCCGAAGACCAGGAGAGGCTCGCGGGGTGCGGCGGAGGAGGGGAGGGCCCGGCCCCCACACACACACCCCGGCCCCCACCCGCCCTTACCCTGGGCGATGGCAATGGACTCGAAGCGGTGCAGCTCCTTGAGCAGGCAGCTCCTTTCGGTGGAGTGCAGGCTGTAGATGAAGTCGCGCGCGCCCTGCGCCGTGTTCAGCGCCTCCATGGGCTCTTTCTTGGGGTGCGTGCCCAGCCGCCGGGGCCCCCCGGGGGCCGCGATGGCCAGCAGCCCCCGCCCGCAGCAGCACCAGGACGGCGGGCGGGGCGCGGCGGCGGCGGCGGCGGCGGCCGGGCCCGGCCTCAGGCTTCCCAACAGCGGCAGCAGCCGGGACATGGCGGGAGGAGCCACGCGACCCCCGTGGCAGTCCCGGAGGCCGATTTCTGGGCGAGGCTAACGAGGCTGAAGCCGAAGGCTCAGGGCTCAGCCCGACCCCGCCCCGAGGTCCTCCCGACCGGCAGCCCGGGCGCCCGGCACCATGCACTCCGCGGGCCCGCACGGCCGCCGCGCCTCGGCTCTCCCGACGCTTCCCGCGGGCCCGCGAAGGATCCCGCACCTCCGCCCAGAGAAACTTTCCGGGAGGCGCGGGGCCTGCGGCGCTCGGGAGAGGCGGGCGCGCGGGCGGGCGCTTCCCGGGCTGAGCGCGCGCGGGGCGGGCGGGCGCCGACGGCGAGCGTGTGGCTGTCAGTCGGCTCTGCCACCGGGATGAGTCAGCCACGCACCGCCCTCCACCGGCGCCGCCCTCCGCGCCAGTCCGCTTTCCCACCCTCTGGCCTCCGCTCACCCCCGGTCTGTAGGGCTCTGCGCCCTCAAAGCGACCGCGCTTTCAGGCCGCCGCCGCCACGGCCGCCGCTGCCTCCCCTAGCGGCCGTGGAAGGGGTGGCGGGACCGGGCGCTGGGGAGGGGGCGGGCCGCGGGCGGGGCCGCGCAGGCGCGGTGCGCGGGGCCGCGAGCGGACCTCCCTCCCGGCTTACGAGTCTGCACTTGCCTGGGCGCTGGTGGCGCGGAGGCTGGGAGGGGCGCGCGCCCTGGGTGTTGGCATTCGCCACGCCCATATCCACCCGAGGGAAGAAGGGGAAAACAATCTTGGGAACCTAAGCCAGGTTGGGTTGTGCGGCCGCTGCCTCCGGTCCCCCATCCGCCCTTCAGGACGGTGCGGAGCCACTGGGGTCGCAGCGCCCTGCTCCGGCCTTGGAGGAGCAAAGCGCCCGAGCCCGGTCGCGCCCCCCGCGGCCCGGCCCGCGGGCGCCCCGGCTGCTCCCTGAGCAGGCGGCGAGGCCGGTTCTACCCGTTCTCGGGAAGGAGGTTTTGAAACTGAGACCTGGAGGCGAGAACACCTTTCTCCAGCCCTGATGACAGCAGGTTGCTGATTGCTGTAGCCAGCCTGTTGTTGTTTGTTCAATGGCGGAGCAGAGCCTAAGATTCTTCACGATTTCCACCTGCCCAGGTCCTAGGTGAAAGGTTCTCCTGTTCCATCAAGCTTTCCCTTCTTCTTTTGAGGGTGAAGAACTCTGCTTTATTGAACCTGCTTAAAGTCAGTTAGGAACACTGTCTTAGAAAGTAAATCTACTTAGATAACAAATCTGCTCAAGTGTAATCAAGATCTAAATAAATCCCATCTGTATCACGAGTACGCTCTTAAATCAGCCCGTTTTATCCAGGGGATGGAATATACATATATATATATATATATATATGATTCAAAATCACAGATCAAAAATATTTTTAAAACATAGCGCCTAGATTTTCTTGTCATTCCGGTAACAATAGTATGTACACAGTATTTGCATATTATTAACATTATAATAGGTATTATCGTAGCTTGAAGATGGTCTAAAAAAGTATTTGGGAAGGCTCAGCCATCTGAGTTTCAACAAGCACTCTAGTTAAAAATGATGCATACAAATTTGAATAACTGCTGTAAACATGGAAAGTGATGCGTTTTTTTTTTTTTAAATTTCACCTCTGTGGAGGTAATAATGACAATTAAGAATGCTCTCTGCTGGGAGAGCTAGTTTAGGCTACTTGAGAAGCTGAATCAGGAAGAAAACCCTTGAGTCCACAATTTCAACACCAACCTGGACAAAATGGTGAGACTGTCTCAATTAAACAAAAACAATTTCTCTATAGAAAATGTTCACTCCTTTTGAGTGTAGGAGCTCTGCCTTGTCCCCAAAACACTGCCCTATCCCAATCTTCACTGGAATCCTCTGAAGTTATATTAGTGTTGGTTACCCAAGATTATAACCCCATTCATCCCATGATACCCCCTGTGCTTAAGAGATTCTGATACATTGGGCTTGGGTTTGGGCCTGGGAAGTGAGGCCAAAAGCTTCTCTGTGTATCCCAGTTCCTAACAGTCTCTAGGTCAGCAGTTTAGCCTGGAGACTCCAGAGACAGATTAAATAGGATTTCTGAATCAACCATTGCCTAATTTATATTAGATTCCCAATGGATTTCATCTCTTGCTTTTTAATCCCTGTGTAATTCCACTTACATTAATAGTAGGCTTGCCCATGTGACTTATGTTAGCCAATAAGAGATACCAAAACATGATCTAACTAGCGTTGCTCATTGGGGCTTATTGTAATGTTTTCACCAGATTAAGAATATTCAATTCTGTTATAAAACAATAATTAAAATGTAGAAACAAGATACTTATGAGACATGTTATGCCTTGAGTAAATATGTTTTGGGGGGTCATGGTGGATATCAACTTAAAAACATGCTTTACATAGAAAGTAGTAAAAGAATGAATGATCTTTTACGTATTAAGAAGGTACACACACAAAATTCCATCTATTCTTTTCAACATTGGGTTGGAGAGGCCCTAACATGTGCAAGGCTCTTGGTTCAAATTCCCAGTGCCACCACAACTACACACACACACACACACACACACACACACACACACACACACACACACACACACACTAACTCTAGTAGTCCACGCTAAATTGAACATCTATTGGTGACACCTATTGTAAATACACCAGAGCCTCATGTCTCTGCCCAAGAAACTCAGATAACCATAACTACATAAACTACTCATCATCTCCTTTGATCCTTATACTATCTGTAGAAAAGACTAGCACTACAGAAAAGAAAAGGAATATGAACATTACATAAAACTGAATTGAGGTTACTATGGTTCTTACTGACTCTCCTAAACCTGTTAATCTATGTTATTTCTTGCCCTTGCTTGATAACCCATTCTGATAACTACTGATGCTCTTTGAGTGAACACATTACAACAAAACTGAGTGGTCTAAATAAACAATTTATTTTGCTCATGATTTTATGACTCAGAAACATGGGACAGGCTTACTTGGGAAAATCTTGCTCAAGTCTCTTGTGTTATGGCAATCAGATGCCAACTGTAGCTGAAGTCATTTGAAGGTTCAACAGGGCTAAACATCCTAAATGATTTTCTCATATGGTGGACTGGCAGGAAGCTCAGCCCCTTCTGTAATGGTAAACTCTTCTCCTGGCAACCTGCTTTCTTCCAGACTGAGAGTCTGAAAAGAAGCAGGCACAGAGACTTTACTAGCCCAGCACCTACATTAAATTCTACTGGCTATAAAGCAAACCACTAAGGCCAGTCCATATTTAATGCAAGGTTGCATAGATACCATCACTCAATAGGAATAATGCCAAAGAACTTGAAGTTTGAAGTTTCCATATAGGCAATGTGATTCTAACATTTTAATTTGGTCTATACACCTGTTTTTTCTAGGGGACAAGCACAGTTTGGAAGGATGTTTGGAGGCTGCCATTGCATCAAGGTAATCTTCCACATAACATTAGCCTCTTGGGATCCAGCTGCCATGTAAGTAATTCTGAAGCATATTACAGGAAAAAAACCCTTGGAAGAGGAGCCCCCAGCCAATAGCCCCAACTAACTGCCAGAAACACACATCAGGTCATCTTGAACCATCCATTCCTGCTCAAGCCTCAACTGATGGCATTGCAAAGTGATCAAAGGCATTAGTTCTAGACCCAGAGTGCCATTTATTAGTTGTAGGACCTTGAGCTAATAAATCACCATTTCCAGGGTTGCTTATCTATTTGATAATGATAAGGACATGGTGCTCAGTTTGTTAATCTGTTAAATGGAGATCAGGGCATTTGCATTATAGAGTTATAGTTAATTGTTACAAGTTATAGTTAGGAGATAATGCATATCAGAATTTTCAAACATCTGGTATATAGTAACTGCTCAGTAAATATCACCTGTCATTGTCTAATTCCCATGGACCTCTCAAGCCTCTTTCAGATAGAAATTCAGATAGGAAATCAGAGAGAAATCTGAATTCCTGTCAAGTCAGGACTGATTGACCTTTTCAGAGAACTCAGCATTCTGAGAGTTCATGATGAGAGGAGGCACTCCGAACTCCCAATCTGTTTGAGTCTCAAAGCTCAGCTATTCATGCCCTCACAAAGATCCATAGGTTGGTATAGAAAATTGACTGTGAGAGATTCCCTTCCACTGCATTTATAAAGGCTGAGAAGTGCCATGACCTGCTGTTTGCAAAATGGTAGCCCTCAAAAGGCATTGTATACTTCCAGGCCCAGCCCCAAGTTGTTAAGAACCAGGGTACTCATTGAGGTAAGTCCCAGTGCAGTGAGAGGTTCAAGAACTAACAGTCCCAGTGTTTGAGAGTGAGAGAAGAAAGATGTACAGTTCAAGCAGGGAGCAAATGTACCCTTCCTCTGCCTTTTTTCTCTGCAGACCCTCAACAACTTAAATAATACCCAGTAGTCTTGACGAGGTATATCTCTTTTTGGTTCAGATACTAATCTCCTTTAGAAATACTCATAGACACATCCAGAAATAATTATTTATCAGCTATCTGACAAATTAAAATTAGCCACCATAGCCTAGTATGGTAGTACTCCCTGTAACTACAGTCCTTTGAAGGCTGAGGCAGGAAATCTCAAGTTTAAGGTCACCTTGGGATATAAATCCCTGGCTAAATAAACAAATAAGTTTGCCTGTCATTCTAAATTAATTTATAAAGCCAGGGCAATTGCAATCAAATTCTCAACTGAGTTTATATGCAGTTGTCACATATATGAAAAATTATAAAAGTGATATTAAAATTCATATTGAAATGTAAATGGACAGGCATACCCTATGCCACTACAAACCCTAACTCTAACAAACTCATTTATTCAATTCGAACATCAAATCTCCCCAACAGGCCTATGCATCGAATACTTGGTCCCCAGATGATGGCACTATTTGGAGAGCTCACTGTAATTTTGGGAGGTGGGGCTCCACTGGAAGAAGTAGTTCACTGAGGGCATGCCTTTGAAGCCTATAGGAGGTCTTCAGACTACTCTCTTGCTCTCCTTCCTGTGTAGCATCAGGTGAACAATTTCCTCTGCACATGTTCCTGTCTCTGTTATGTTCTGCCCCCAGCACACAGGGTTAAGAAACCATGGATTAAACCCTCTGAGCTCATGATCCAAAATAAACATTTCCACTTAAGTTTGTGTCTGTCAGGTACTTGATCAC